GTTTGTTGAAGCAGTCCCAATGCCGAGCTGCTTGGTTTTATCCTGTGGCCACAGAAATGACTGGAACGCCTGAATTCAGTGGTTTGGATGGCTGAGTGAATACTTTTGGCAGTTCCTCGGCGAATGGCACAGTCTGAATTTGGAGTTAAATTGTTGGGATGTCCAATTCTGGGAAGATTGTGGCTTTTATTTGGCACAAAAACTGCCCACAGTTAAGGTTTTACTAAGGTGATCACAGCAGGCTACTTCTTGGCCTCTTCATTCACACAGAAGCAGTAAGGTTGAACTTTTCTCAAACACTACTCCTGGATTTTGGCTTGTTTTTTCTTAAATCACTAATAACACAGTGTTACATGTCATGTATTATTCATCCAAAGTTGTTTACACTAATTTTTCAAACCCGCTAAGGACCATAAGATTTTTAATATGCCCTGATACATAAACCTTAGGAGGATGCATTTTCTTTCTCATGTGGGTAAAACAAAAAAGGTGTGAAAGGTTCCACTCCTAGGGAAGTTAGGGATCATTAAAATAGTCTGTGTGTTTTGGCAGGATGTCCCCCAGCACAAGTGTTGTAGTTCCTTCCTCCCATCAGGGCCAAATTCACAGAGTCAGCTGAGGCAACAGACAAATCAACAAGTCACATGCTAGTACATAACAGGACAAATCAGAAGCCAAACAATGAAAACATTTCATTGTTTTTAATGGAAATATTTACTAACAACAGTTAAATAATCTTGCCACTCCTACAGAGGTGTGAAGGATCACTGTACAGTAAGCTTTTCACAGTATTTCTTACAATATTTACATCCCCCATCATCATCTCCTTTAGCAGTGGATGAGTACATTTACAAAGTCACATCTGCAAACCAAGCGCTGTGTCCTTTTACACAGCGCTCTACCTTTCAAGTCAAAGCACTTAGAAAAAGTATATGTCAGCATACAAAGAAAAAAAAAGTCAGTTTTTTGAACAGTATTTTGTATAATTAAATTAGTACATTCACGCACACAAACATAGTTAATCTCAAATTAAATGCAAGGCAAACTGAAGCTAACTGTTTTGGTATGACTGGACTGCAACAAACTAAGTGTGGAGTGCAACTTTAGAATCAATGATAAACAAACTTGATTTTAAAACAACTGTATAAAGTGACGACATGATGACAGTGAACCGTTTCAATGGCCAGCGTGGAACAGCAAATTCAGACAGCCGGTCTCAGCAGTCGACACAAAAACACATGAAATGGATGCATTTGTCTGGAAATGGGGATCAGAGTCAAGCTCATTTTCTGTTTGCTGTCACCTTACCCAGCGCCCAGTCTACAGAGAAAAAGTTGTTGCAGCATTGTGAATACGGATGTGTCAATATCGTGGATCAAATATCAGGTTTCGCTTTCTTGTCACGTTCGTTTTAACACTGGTTGGATGGATTTATCACAGTTTGAGATGATGTGTTGACAGCTCAGTTAATGGTGTCTTATCTCACATTAGCCATCTCCGTCTCCACTCCCTGTTTGAGGAAGTGCACTCACAGACTGAGAGCAGTGAAAGACTTGTGCAAATAAATAAAGCCAAACATTTTTTATTTGGTCTATTTGTCCGGGGTAGTTGGTTTTTTTAAATTTGTTCTATTTGGCCACATGAAATCAACACTGCATCTTTAATGGATGATACTACAGCAGTGGGTAAGGTGACCAAAGATCCAAACAGCTGCTAAATAAATGCAAAGATTTGTTGGAATGTGTCTTCAATTCATCTCCCACACACTCAGCTTCATCTTCTGTTAGCGTATAAGATACAATGTTACAGGAACCTAAAATGCCTTCCTTTCAAAAAGCTGTCAGCAGCCTGTATAAGTGAAGGGAATAGAGATATTCACCTGGTGCTCATGGAGTGCGAATGCCCTCTTTATGCCGGCTGATGTCCTACCTGGGTATTAGAATTGTGTGTTCAAGCAGCAAATTCACCAATTTGGCCTTTGCAAATGCACCTCACTGTTAGTGGCATAAAATAAGTCTTTTGATAACATTTAAATAATAAAATTCACTAAGTGAAGTAAAAGACTCCTGAATATGTGCATCAATAACTTTTAAACCCAGTGAGTTTTGTACTGTTACAATCAGTTCTTATTCACACTGAGGAGAAGAGAATTATTTTACCTGAAGTTAAGAACGATTAAAGACTTCAGATATTAACAGCACTCCTCAGACAATCCCTCTCGGGTTAAATGTTCTGAATGAAAGCCATTAACATGCTTTAGTCCCTCTCTCCTGCAGCTCAGCTGGTGAATTATTAAGCCTTCCAGTTACACGACACCAGCAGTAGAGGACAAAGGTCAGAGCTCCCTCTTTGGTGCCAAGGAGGAGTAATACCCCATGACTTCTTTAGAAAGCTGCCAGTTCTGCTCCGCTTTTAGCCAAGTTTGGCCAACGGTGATGGAAACGAAAGGTTCCACCCCACCAGCTCTACCTGCTAGTTTTGCACTGGGATGTCCAGCACTGACTGGGATGTCCAGCACTGACTGGGATGTCCAGCAGTGACTGGGATGTCCAGCGGGGAGGTCACAAAAAGACATCCAACTGCTTAGAAGCCTCTGGAAAAACTTAGTTTCTGAACTCTGTAAACATATCATTGATGACTTTATTGTCTGAATAGTTACTAGTTTCAAGTCTTACACTTTCCAATATGTAATTTTTGTACGTTATTATTATTATATTAATTATTGATTAATTACTAGTTATTATTGAGTCAGAAGTTAACTACAGTACTGTATGATTTTGCATATGACTGACAAAATCTGGGAGCCACATCTCAGAAAGAACTCGAGGCTTCAAAATGAGACTCTGCTCACCGATGGCTGACATCACAGTGCATTACATCACATTACATCCATCTTTTCTATACAGTCTATGTTTCACATTACACTCAATCTGTCTGGTCTTTTGAAAAAGGTGACAGCCTTGAACAGATATGTTTCTGCTTAGTTAGGTGTTCAGTCAAAAGTTAAGCTGAAAAAAATGAATTAATAACAAACCGACTATCTAGATTTCAAAGAAGCCTGCTTTCTAAGCTGTAAGTACTTTAGTGCGTTAATGATTTCTCCGTCTTTCAGAGTCAGATCTTTTTCCCAGGAAAACAGTAGCTGATCTTGTGACAGACACCCCCCCCCCAGCTAACCCACTTCAGATTCTTTTTGAAAGCTCCACTTGATTTGCCCCCAGATAAAACTTATGCAATATGTAATTATGTAAGAAGTTTTGACTCTAAATCTGAGATGAATAGAGTGGATTACAGCATGGGACTGAGACTGGGCTATGATTTCAGGACGGTTTGAAAAACAGATGCATAAACCTCCGCAGAGTAAAGGGAGAAGCAACCAAAGACCAAAACTGGGAACTGGTGGGCGATCAAAGATGAAAGGGTATAAAGGGAGAGGAGGACATGGCACAGGGAGGGTGACAGAGGTGGTGACTTTCCAAAATGTCTGGAAACCTTAAATGGAAAACTTAACAGAGCGATGCGCTGTAACCATAAAAGTCAAAAAGGTGGAAATAATGCTCGAGGACAGGAACACACACAGAGGTCTCGTCTTTGTAGCCATCCCCTCCACCTCCTTCGGTACCACTTTCCAAAGAGTTGTTAACCTGAGATGTTAAATACAAATAAATAAATGCACATTTAGCTTTAACAGTGAGTCAACCTAAACCTTTCCATTTGCTGTTCCAAACACGTGGCGTTTGGCATGAAACACCAACTAACACGCAGACAAGTCTTACAATCCTAGCAGCATAAGCAGCAGCAGTTTGCTGTGAATAAGTGGAGGATGTGGTGAAAGAAGCTGAAAGTGCTTCAACAGGAAAAACAGGGGGCACAGGAAAGGACACCCCGAGGAAAGCTCAGTGCAGAAAGCTACGGGCACTTAGCACCAAAGGTGATGGAAAAAAACGAGAAAAGGTCACAATGTGTTAAAATATGTAGAGACAGAGGAAGGAACACACACAAGACACACACATACAATGTGACTAACACCAGGCTGCACCTGTAGTCAGTTTCAGAAAACAAACCATCATCCTGACACTCTTCAACCCTCTCCTTCCTCTTGTGACATCATTACCAGCGTTGTGGAACATTTTGGTGTCCTATCCCAAACACAGACCTCTCTACGCCTGGTTCAGCTGCTCTAAGAGGAAAAGCGTGGCGCCTTTTCAACATATATTAGAAACGCAGACGAATGCACTTGCACACACACACACGTGAAAGTTTTGTCATTCTTGGGCTACAGCGGTGACGTACGTGGAGCTAAAGTTTGGAGGAATCAAAGAGTAATTGCGCTTGTTGCAGGAAAAGGATGCCAGGCTGACCGAGGAGTGGTCCATCAACAGCTGGCTCACAGAAGCGTCTTCATGGGAGAGGAAGTCCCAGCATTTAACCTTCAAACACACCTCCTTCTGGGCTCCTCTCCTCGTCCTTCTGGCTTCCACCGCCTCCTCTCACTCTGGGATCTGCAGGGCCATCACTGCAGGTTTAGTCTTGAAGTACTGGTTGAAACGTAGCACGGCGTACCTGCAGACGGAGAGACAGAAAAGACTGATTTTTGACTTTGTCGCTTGCGCAGAGATGTCTCTTCTCTAAGATTTCTTCTTGGAATGTTACAAATTGTGTTCTTTAGATAAGATAAAAAAGTTTGTGGAGTTTGCCACATTCCCAAACACATTCAACCATGACTTGCTTAACTCATCTGCACGGATGTGGTGGTGTGTGCGTGTACAGTCATGATGCTTAGTGCTAACCTTTTCACACACGCACACTTACCCCAGGAAGTCAAAATCGATGGAGGAGTATTTGGCTTGGATGAGAGCCCAGAAACCCCAAAAGAAGTGAGAAGCCTTGAGAGAAAACAAATGAGATATCAGATGTGTACCATGAAACAGCAGGGTTGAGCTCGCAAGAGATACTGTGTGCATCTGTCAACATCTGTCTCACCAGAGCAAACTTGTTGACCTGAACGTAGAGCGTCTCTAGCTCTCGCTGGCTGACCTCCTCTGTGTTCTTGGTGAAGAGTTTGTAAGCCTGCAGATACACCTTGAGCCACTCCATTTGCATCTCCCGACTAGGATAGAGTCCATAGTTCGGCTCAGTCATGCCTGAACAAACACATGGACGTGCAGTTGAAGGATAAGCTGTGCACCACCAACACATAACTAACTAAATCACTAAATCACACTGTGCTTTTGCTGACCTGCAAATTCATTGAAGTGGTTGCCGATGTCAAAGGCCTGGTAGTTGTAGCTGGAGTACTCATAGTCGATGAAGCGCACATGACCTTAAGGAGACCAGAGAAAGGAAAACACGTACGTTACATTATTATGCACGTGGTCATTTACAGCAAAGCTGAAGGGAAGCAATATGAAGCACTCTTCAGGTACTGCTGCCACATGCAGTGCACGGTCACATGACAGACAAAGTCAGAGACAGTTAAAAAGCCTGCTAGCTGTGCTGCCTCTTCACTCAAGTGCTATTGACTGAACCTGAGGAGCATCTTTACATGGAACCGCTGTGTGCTTCAGTTAATGTTCCTTTGTTGGGGCAGGGATTGTTTTTGATGGTCAGCTTGAGACAGCAGGAAGAAGAAGGATTATGTGACTATTAGACGCACTGGAGGGACTTGTTGGTCAAACTGTACACCAGTCATCTACACCTGGATGACCAGAACAAGAGCCAGTGAACAACGCCTGTGCAACATTCATGGAAATTTACATGAATGCACTGAAAAACTGCAAATCACTGATCTTTGTCTATAGTAACAACAGTCTGTCGTTACTATAGACAAGGAGCAGATATACAAAGACCAGATAGACAGACTTAGCTGGGCAAGTTAGCATGAATCCACAAAAACTGAATAATGCTTGTGGCTCCAGAGGTGATTTAGTAACAATATGTATGACAGTAAATGCTGCCACCAATAACTTACTAACAACATATGCACAGCTTGTTGCTTATAATCTAAGCAAAGGTTTTTTATTTCTCAAACTGATGGGGACGTTGCAGGGAGTAGTCCTTTATATGAATCCTGAGCTGAGTCTTTACATAAAGTCTGTTTTATCACAAGCAGTTGCACTATATAAACCCAAAATATATATCAGCAGACCTGACCAAGCAGCATTTTGGAAGATCCCGATGAATGCAGTGTTAATGAAACCACTGCAACTGGTGCACAAGCATAAATACACACATCACACTCATTCATTTTTTTCCTGTTTTGCTTCTTGTTTCACGCCGCATGTGTTTCTTGATCCTACAATAGAGAACTTTTTGAATTGTAGTACAAGAGGTGCTGTTGCAAAGATCGTGTTTCTGTTTTCCTTAAAACCTAGTAACCGCCAGATAAATCCTAGTTAATGGGAATGCTAACACTACAGCTGAATTAATTTGCTAACAGGCAAATGCTTTTCCCTCCAGAAACCAAACTAACATATATAATATTTGTTTATGGGTGTTTCTTCTTCATTTGTAGGGAACACAAATCCTTTTTTTCAGTCATTGATGGTTATCAGCATGCTGCACTGTGCATCACGGCTAATGCTAAGGTAGTCAGCTATTGTGGATTCATGCTAATTTGTCCAGCTGTTTGCATTAGCCAAGCTGTGGTACAAAATATTACAATTCTTAGTATTTTGTACCACAGCTTGGCGAACACATGTGACAACTATCTGTCTGTTTTGAAGCTCCTCAAAGCCCAAGGCCATTTCTATAAATGTTAGCACAAACTGCCTAAAGAATAAAAGGGAACAACTGTAAAAGTCAGCATATGATATTGGAGAGCTGTATGTGTGCACGCTGGTTGTTATAGATGCACAAACAAAGTTATACTGAAAGGGAAATATTATGCAAATAAAGCATCACTTTAGTAACTCCCAACCTTTGCATGTTAACACCAAAAGATGGTTTTGTGCTGGTGCAGGCAGTTAGTATAGCATGCCTCACTTCTAGTGATCCAGCTGTCAATGATCCACTGGAATGGGGGCAGTGTGGGGAGTGAAGTCAGAAGTGCTGCTGATCATTCTGGTTGTAAAATAGAATCACAGCCGTGAGACGAGACGCTCAGATTAAGGCTCAGACACTTACCCTCTTTGCTGTTGTGGATGATGTTCTTGCAGAGCAGGTCATTGTGACAGAGCACCACAGGTGAGCCCAGTGTGGAAAGATGCTCCTTCATCCAAACCATCTCCTGCTCCAGCACCACCTTGCTGGGAACTTCCTGCTGTATTCTGGACAGGGAAGGAAATGGAGAGGTCAGTGTAGTTGCGCACATTGTTGTGTTGTGACAACCATTCAGAATAGCTGCACACACAACACTGTGTCCACCTGTTAAGTAAGTATGACAGGAATACTTTCACTGGCTGTTTTTCACCTAAAACGCCTTTCTTTATTTTGGTATCATGCCACGTGGGAACATATGTGAAATGAAAACAACTGAGTGCGACATGCACAGGCAGCACACAAGCTCAGTGGGGCTCTGGCCTGCTGACTCCTGGGAACACAGTTGCAGAGAAACAAGTCCTCAGTGGACCCTCCTGGTGCTGGAGTCACTGTTATTACGGCTACATTACACCTCATTTCCTTAGTTTTCAGACCCGACTACCAACATCTGATCTGCGATTTATTCCACACTGTACTTGAAATAAACATTCATGCATATCCTGCACCAGTATTTATATATGTTTGCTCTTTTCAACTGTGTGCACATGACACAAACCTACGGAGGATTCACACGTCACAAAGGGTTCAGCCCAGCTAAGATTGTGTAGTCTGATCTAATCAGACGAGCAGCAGATTTGGCTTGATGGTAGTCCAAAGGTGGTCTTACTAAATAGCAGAGAAAGAGCTAAGGTAGTCTCATCCAAGCAAAAGCTAAGAGTGCTGAGTAGAAACCCCTTTGTTAAATGTAATGGGCTTATGTGGATTACTCCAGTATCAGCCTGAAGACAGTCTGAGCTCAGAGAAAACCAGTGTGCACACAGGATGCACCCTCTCCTCTCAGATTTCCATCTAGCTAGCTCTCTCTGACACTCACTCAAACTTAACTCATCCAACATGTCATCCACAGAGGAAATGTTACTGAAATGATTCTGATTTAGGCTAAATGCTACAAATAACACAAGCCTATTAAAATGAAGCGCAACATGAGGGCTTCTCAGATAGCAGTGTGCAACAAGTGTCTGCTGTCCAGGACCAGGGACTCTAGCTGTCTGTGTTACCAAGGACGGGATAAAGTGATCTGATAGACCGGGCTAAGCAAACATCTGCTGGCCCACTGAATGCCAAACACTCCCTAATCCAGTCTGCTATTATTGTTACAGTTATATAAGCCACATGCTGGACTTAATCTAACAGGGAAGAGAACAAAGATATTAGCTGGGACTGGGCAGCTGGCCAGGTTATAAAATGGTATACTTTATCTGCTCCACACGTCTCTGCCATACTATCCTCCTTATTATATAGAGATGAATTTATATTTTCATTAAACACACTTCTAGGTAACGCTGGGAAATTACATCTCTATTACATCTCATCTTTTGGCTGACGAATATCTTGGTGTTTTCTATGCTGCAAGCCAAGTGTTCAGTTTTATGCTAAAGCTACAAGTCAACGATATTTTATTCATATAAAACCCAAAGATTAAAAAGTTTACAGTCTCCATGCTGCTTTGACATATTTCAGTAGAAATATAAAGCTTGCTCCATTGTTGTAATGAGCTAATTACTAGAGGTGGGAATCACCATACATCCC